TCTCCCCAGTCTTTAAATAAATGAATAAATACCCAAGGAAATGAAGATAGAAAAAAAGCAGAAAGCAGTGAAATAAAAAGTAGAAAAGTGATTTTAAAAAACCAATGAGAAAAGATCTGGTTCTTTGAAGTAGTCAATGGAATATCAACAGTTTCCTAGGAAAACTGATTTTAAAAAGAGAAAATACAGATCAGCGAGGAAATATGAAATGAAATATGGGGTCCAGGGAGATGGCTCAGTCGAATAAGTGCTTCCCTGGAAAGCACAGGGCCTGAGTTCAATCCCCAGTTCTGCCAAAAAGAAAAAGAAAGATGAAATATGAAATATGACATCACTACCAATCTGGCAGACATCAGAAAAACAAGGGAATGCCAGAAACAACTCTATGAATATAAATTCAACAACTTCAGAGCAATAGATCCATTCCTTGAAGGCTACAAATGCATGTAAAATGAATTAAGCAATTTGAACAGTATTTTTAAAACACGGGATCTGTAGAGAACAAGAGAAGTGAACTCTTCCCAATACACCTCACGAGGCCAGTGTGACCCTGATTCCAGAGTGAAACAAGAGTAGCACAAAAAGAAACACAGGGGAACCTCTCACAAACATAGGAGAACACAGTAAGAATTTTCAACAAAATAGCCGCAAATGGAATCTGGCAATCCATGACAAGAATCATATTGCACACCAGTTTGGGTTCAGAAAGGAATGCAAGGTTGGTTTAACATTTGAAAAGCCATCAGTGGAGCCCGCCACATCAATAGGGTTACAGAAGGAAAGTAGCGCCAGTGGTCCTTAGCACATGGATGGATGCAATGTGCCCAAACCAGGGAATGTTTTTCAGCCTTGCAAAGGCAGGAATTGGTCACATGCACAGCATGGAGGAAGCGTGAAGATAAAGATGCTAAGGGATAGAAGCCAGACACAAAAGGCCAAAAATTATGTGTTCTACTTCCGTGAGTTACCTGGAGTAGACAGCAGAATGATGATCAAAATGAGCCAATGGGAAAGGGGACATGGGGGACATTGTCTATTTGGGACAGAGTTTCAGTATGTGATAGCGAACGAGTTTTGGAAAGGGATAATGACAGCAGTATGAATGGTCCTGATGCTGCTGAACTAACTACACGCTTGCTGTGGATAAAGCAGTAAAACTGTATGATGTCACCTGTATCTGGGCATAAGAATTTAAGGAGACTAAACAAGAAAAACCACATAATTGTATCAATTGGTGCAGAAGAATGTGACAGCATTCAACCTCCAGCAATGTCAGACTTGTGACAAATTAGGAACAGAGAGGAGAAGCATCCTCAATACTGTGTGGAAAACCCACAGCTTGAATCTTACCAGTGGGGAGCCCAATGCCTCCCCCAAGATTGGGAGCAAGAGCGCTAGCTCTGCTGTCAGCTCTTTCTCCACAAGAGAATCCCAGTAGCCTACTCCTCCTGAGGCCCACAGGATGTATGAAGGTTGGCAAGCTATCCTTTGTCCCAGAGGCCGGTACCCTCAATCGCCTCAGCTCTGCCTCTTTTGAGATACACAAGGACTGCAAATAAGGTTACCTGATTTTATGATGTTAACTCTACCCGTTATATTAGGAGAAATCAAATCACTTCCAAGTTTGGGACCAAGTTTATACATTATAGTGACTTGTGACTGCCCTACATAAATCTACATATGTGCAACAAGGAGACGAACAACTGCTAATGACATCTAGCATGCAACTGAGGCCCAGAAAGGGTGAGCAACTGGCCCAAGATCCCACAGTCCAGGTAGGGGTATCCATGAGCAAGCCAGTTGTGGTCAGTGTTCTAATGACACAGCTGAAATCTCTTTCACACAAACAGTTGCTTCTGTTCTTCCTGTTAGGCTGCAACCACAGGTGCAGGCTGCACCTGGCTGGGACTCGTGCAGGGCCTCATGAGGTCTGTGGCTGCACACAGCTGGGAGCGTGGTCAGCCTTGGTTGGGAGGTTTGGTTCCAGTGGCCCCCGGGGCTCTCTTCCCCCAACACCATCCATCCCAGCGTCTGCTCTGATTGTGGCTGACAGCATGCTGCAGGCTGGGCTTGGACTGAGACTGCCACTGTGTAAGTGGGTTACATAAGTCATGTTGTCATGTCTGTGCCCCACATCCCTAGAGGCACTGCCTGGTCACTGTGTCCCCATGTAGCCTGTACACCCTCCCAGAGTCAGGCTGGCTTCAATGACAGGTGTGTGCCTATGGTGCTAGCTTAGCAGAGCCTGGAGAAAGAGGCAAGGCAGGGCCTTGGTTGACAGCTGTCAGCAACAGCAGTCCAGAGTGGTCACGGTCAAGGGCTCAGACCTCACTGCCTGTATCTTATCCAATCCCATCTCTGCCACCTCCTATCTGTGGTCACAGGCAAGTTTTCTAGCAAGGCTGTACCTCTGCTTAAACCTTTACTAAGAGCACCTGGGTGTGGCACCCAGGAAGGGCAAATGACTTACTATGTCTCCTGTCCTTGGCCCTTGGGTCAAGCAGAGTCTCTCACTACCATGATTCGGTGTCAGAGGAGCACAGAGGTAGAAGTCAAGGCTGCTCTGCAGTGACCCTGGTCAGTCAGGTGGAGGTTGCCACTCCAGCTGCTTGAGTTCTTTGGCTTGAACCAGCTCAGTTCACTGGCTTTTGCAGAGCTCTCTAGAACCAAGGCAGTGGCACTACCAGAAAACCTCCTCCTAGGTTTTTAAAAGGTCCATGGCCCTTAAGAAGTGTAGAGAATCTGTCACTGAGCACATGACAGCAGCCACGCGTGTCCCTGATTGGACCTGCTCAGTGTCTAGGGCATCCAGGTCCCTGGAGTCACTGATCAGCCAGCAGTCTGTCTCCCTCCTCGCCTGGAGCTCACCTGCATGGACCTGGGAAAACGATGAAAGAACAATACAGGGAGCAGCTGCCTTCGGTTCACTGGACAAATGCTATTCAGTGGAGTGGGTAAAGTATTTAGTGCATGAACGTTTACTAAGAAGTTGCTCTGTGTCTGGCGCTGGTAGGGGGTCAGATTACAAAGGTCCCTCTGTGCTTAGCTAAGGAGATTAGACTTCATCCTTGACATTATGGATGCAGGGATGGCAGAGGGTGTCATTAGATTTCTGGAAGTTGGCAGGAAGCTTCCTGGAGATGCCTGTGCTGGGTCTGGACAAAGCCCAAAGGCACAGGGTTGGCTGAGTTGTGCCCAAAAGCCAAGAGGTTTGGTGCTTGTCTTTGGGTATGTCAGCAACTGGAAGTAAGGAAACTGACTTCCTCTCTGCCCAGACCCAGGACCGGAGTGAAAGAAGGCCCACGAGCCGGAAAGACCATCCAGAGTGGAGGGCTTCTCCCACCTGTCTGGGCAGCCTGTCAGAAACTCCAGTGGGGCTCGGGCTATGAAAGCCCCCTGCAGGTTCTCAGGTCACTGTTCCTCCAGCCACTGTTCCTCTGTGGCTCCCCTGATGGCCCCAGACCCAGGCTCCAGGGTCATGTGCTTCTATCAGTACATGAGACCTGGACTTGAGTCTTGAGAATAGATGGGCTTGGGCAGTGGCTGGTCCGCAGGAGGACCTTGGGGGAGCTATGTATGTGGTGGACTTTGCATGTAGAGCTGGCTTCAAGTTCAAGTTCTGCCAGCCATCAGCTGTGAGGCCTTGGGAAAGTAAATAGCCACAAAATCACCTGTCCTAGGTTGGTGAGCCTTTTTTCAGGAGGTCACTGAATATGGCTTGTGGCACATAGTAAGTCCGCAGCAGTTCTTAGCAGCCCCATTTGTCTCTTTTTTCTTTTCTTCTTTTCCTCAAAAAGTGTTTGGTGGATGAACAGCGTGCATTAAGAGCTATGGAAAGACTTCCTATGGCCAGACTTGACTCCCGAGAGTTTCCCGACCCAGGGTAAGGACTGTTGTTGACTGAGAAACAAGGAGATGGCTCCCCAAGAAGGCAAGGCCAGAAGGACCAGGTGGACTGAAGATGTGGAGTCTGGTGGGAAACAGGGCTGGCAGTGTAGCTGGAGATGTCCCAATGTGCTTGGGAAAAAAGCCCCAGAGAGTGGGGCCCTGCATGGCCCAGCAGGGTGCAGAAGACCAAGCCTAGTATAGTCAGTTCCCAGCAGAACTCGATGGAGAGGTAGCTGAGAAGCAGGTGCTAGGTCCCAGGGGCTGTGAACCCCAGGCTGCACACACTGGTCCCATGCCTCAGTCAGCAGGGAGCTGTGAGGGGAGGCTAACCTGGTGACCAGAGGAAGACATCAGGACAATGATCTTTCCAGCAGAGTGTGCTGGGTGTCTTGGAGCAGAAATGATGTTGTCTGCCTGTTCCAGACAGGTGGGCTGAGCTGTGCCGCAGAAACACATTGCATCCAGGTCTCTGGGGCTCAGCTCACCCTCTCCAAGGCTGCTGTGGTAAGGGCGACTGTCCAGGGCATGTGACAGCGATGGGTCCTGGGCACTCTGGTGCAGCACATGGAAGTCTTGGCTTGTACGTGCCCATCCCCACAGAGGCAATGTGGGGAGCAGAGGGTCACTGCTCCAAAGGAGGGATCCACAGGCTAGACAGAAGGTGGCTTGGAGTCACGCCACTGTGGGCAGGTGCCTCATCCCACAGCAGCTTTGCCATGGCCAGTGGGAGTGGGGGCTTCCTCTGCCAGTGGCCCGTGTCTGGGGCGGGGACCTCAGAGAGGAGCCCTTGGTGAGCTTGGGTTAAGGGCGGGGGTGGGAACTAGAACACCCATCCCTCGGCTGACGGCTGAGGAGCACAAGAGAAGGCAGCCAAAGAAAGGGCAAAGAGGGATGCGAGGAGGGAGTACCAAGGCGAAGGTCTAGGGACACGAGAGGGCCTGCCTCACTGGCTGGCATCAAGGCCTCACCCATTAGCATCTCCCAGGCACCTCCCTTGCCATCTCTGGCCTCACCTTCCCTCAAGCAGGGCCAGTTCTGGCTCTGGGCTCCCTTGCTTGCTCTGAGTGAGTGGCCCTGCTTGCAGCCACGCCGGCGTTGGCACGGTGACAGTAGCCAAGTGTGCAAACTTGTGCCTTTGTCCCCGGGCCAGGGGGAGCCATGGAGACTGGCTAATATGACACAGGAAAATGTTTGCTGATGGCAATTCTATGGGCTTTGTCCACCTCTTTCTCCATCATGACGACTCGATTTAAGTCCCTAACTGTTTGATTACAAATGCAAGGGGCCGTGCAACGCCAACCTTTTGTCCAGCGGCACTGAATGGGCAATTCAGGCTTTGTGCAGCTCAATTGAGGAAGCAAACATAAAGACAAGATTCCTGAGAGCTCCGGCTCCCTTCCCATGGATATGCCAGCACCCTGTTCGCCAGTCCCTCCTGGCTACCTTGTGCCACATCGGTGCACCTCCCTAGCCTCCTGGGTCCTCCAGTGCCCCATCCCTGGGGGATCCTGGAGCAAGAGTTGTGGACAGAATGAAAGAGAGACAAAGCCAGAGACAGAGATGAGAGACCAAGAGCCACTCCATGCTCAAGGACAGCAGGGGAAACAGCCCGCCCCAGCTCACCCGTCCGATTGTCTGTCTGCACCGGAGCATGGCAGCTGTAGGCCTGGAGTCTTTCCGGGAGGGGAGGTTTGCAAGCCTGTTCATTTCCACCGGGCCCAGCCCCTCCTTGGTCCTGGACACACACACACACACACACACACACACAGAGAGAGAGAGAGAGAGAGAGAGAGAGAGAGAGAGAGAGAGAGCTCCCCCTCAAGAAACCAGGGAACCGAGGTCAAGGGGAGGAGGGGTGTGGAGGCCTGAAGAGAGTGGGGCTGAGGGGTAGAAATTTACCGGGAAATGATTGCATTTGGGAGCTGTCTTTTTTTGTGATGGTCCCCATGGTGACAATTTGTGACGGCAAAGAATGTGGGAACGGGGCGCAGCCGCCTGATTGGGATGCTTTGTATCTGGAGAGGCGCTCCTGATTGGCCTAAGGGCCCCCCAGCCCCGGGAGTTGTCCTCCATTCAGCCCACTCAAGGGTTGCACCGCTGCAGCGATCCGTTGGTCGGGCCTGCCTAGGTCTGCGGTGGGGAACCTGCCGGCCACGGTGGCGGCGGGCCCGGCCTGCACCTCTGGTCAGTGTGGAGGCTCGGCTGCGGGCTGTCTGGGTGGGGGGCGAGGGGCAGGCCGGGGCCTGGGGGAGGGGCCCAGTGCTGTGGGTGGTGGCCCAGGAGGCATGAAATTGCTGCAGATGCTTCTACCAGGGAGTCCTTGCTGCCCACAGCCTGAAAACAGCCGCGAGGCAGGTCTCGATTAAGTGCTAGACAGGGGTCCTGCCTGGTCCTGCGTGAGAGTCGGGGGTGGAGCGTGGGACCGAGGAGGGGGTGGAAGGGCGGCCACCACCAGGCAGGCAGGGGGCTCGGCCTTCTTTTGCAAAGTGGAGCAGTTGTCTCTGCTTAGAAAAGAAAAAACCTTTCTGCCAAGTTGTAGGCTTTGGCAGTAGGAGCACAGCTGGCGTGTGGGAGACGCGGCAGGCCGGGAGTGCGGCCGCGGACGCCACTTGGAGCTGGGTCGCCTTGGGTCAGCTTGCTTGGCCTCTGTAGGCCTCAGCCGCAAGAAGAGGGCAGCACCCCAGAAAGCTCCATGAGGCTGTTGGCTCCCGAGGCATCGCAGGTGCTCAGGGACCCTTCTGCCTCTAGCGGTGCCCTGTCTGTCACCCAGGCCTCTATTCTGGGCTGAGGGGTGCAGGTGGGGAGCACCGTCTGCATCCAGGTTGGGTGGCAGTTGGGGGAGGGCTGGGGGTGGCTGCTCAAAGAGATTCTAACAGCCTCTCTTGTCCCTCAGGTCAGCCGTGCACCCTCCTCGGAGCTGCCCACCCCCACAGAGACCACCCTCTTCATGGAAAGCCCCATGCCGTGGCCCCCTGGTGATGGCATCCGACAGTGACGTGAAGATGCTGCTGAATTTTGTGAACCTGGCGTCCAGTGACATCAAGGCAGCCCTGGACAAGTCCGCGCCCTGCCGCCGCTCTGTGGACCACCGCAAGTACCTGCAGAAGCAGCTTAAGCGCTTCTCGCAGAAGTACTCCCGGCTCCCACGGGGCCTTCCTGGCAGGGCTGCTGAGCCTCACCTGAGAAGGGGACCTGAAGACCTCCCCGGGCGGCTGCCCCTCCATCCCTCCGTCCCTTGTGGCCCGGATTCCAGCCTTGGTGGGGGTGGGGGCTGCAAGGAGAAGGCTCTGGGGAGTTCTTTCGGGGAGGAATGTCTTTCTAACGAGCAGAGCCTCCAGGGGCAGGGCCTGGGAGCTGCCAAGCCTGGCCAGGTGCCCATGAGGAAGAGACAGCTGCCCGCTTCCTTCTGGGAAGAGCCAAGGCCCACCCACAGCTACCCTATGGGGCTGGAAGGGGGACCGGGCCCCAGGGAGGGACCTCCCTATGAGAATAAAAAAAATTGCCAAGGCTTGGAATCCATGGTGCCTGAAGCCGCTCCAGGACCTATGTCCCCAAGGGCACTGGCTGACAAGGAGCCACTCAAGATGCCTGGGGTCTCTTTGGTGGGCCGTGTTGATGCTTGGAGCTGCTGCCCCTTCCAGTACCATGGACAGCCCATCTACCCTGGTCCTCCAGGGGCCCTGCCTGCAAGCCCCATCCCTGGCCTGGGCCTGTGGAGGAAAAGCCCGGCCTTGCCGGCAGAGCTGGCCCATTTCTGCAAGCATGTGGATGGCCCAGGGCAGAAAGTGCACAGACCTGTTGTTCTGAAGCCCATCCCCACCAAGCCAGCTGTGCCCCCACCCATTTTCAATGTCTTTGGCTACCTCTAGCTAGGCTGCCAGGGCCTGGGCCTCTCCTCCACCCTGCAGGACATCAGGGACCCAAGGAGCTGTCTTTGGGAGGAGGGGGCTGGGCAGAGGTGTGGCCTGGGTATTCCAAGCACCCCTTTCCTTTGTGTATTCTGAGGGCAGTCTTGGGGCGGGAGCTTCTCAGGCAGGCACCAGCTCAGCCCCTGCCACTGGACTCAGCTGGCTTCACCCCAGCCCAGCTAGTGCATGGCAGATCTTTCCCTGTTCCTGTGCTGACCATAGGCACTGGGACCTGGTCTGGCCCACCAGTCACCCAAATGCCACTTACACACCCACTGTTTAAGTCAATTTCAGTTGTTGTTCTTTTTGTTCTTTGTAAATATTAAGAATGTTAATAGAATAAAGACGTTTCTTTTTGCAGTTTCCATATCTCAGGTGTCATGCAGTGGAACAGTCCCCAGACCCATGAAGCCCTGACTGTGCCCAGACTAAAGGCTGCTTAGTGTGGAGGACAAGAGTAGCCGGAAAGCTGGGTGACATCTGGGGCCAGGCTCCACTCGAAGAAAGGTGGGTGGGCAGGGAAGGACTTTCTGACCTCCGTGCTGACAGATGAGTCTGGGCAGGCCAGGGTGCTGGAGGGCCTGTGTCACTCCAGAGCCAGGGAAGGAGGAGCTGCGGCTCTGGCTCTGCTCCGTGCGCCTCATGGCAAGGAGCAGTCAGAAGGAAAATTGGGCTAACGGGGCATTCATGTCTTATGGATGAAACGTGGTTTTGATTTTTTTTTTTTTTTTTTAATGGCTATTGGACCCAGGGCCTTTGCACTAAGTTACATCCCTAGCTCTTTCTAAAACTTATTTTGAAGAAAGTTTTCACTAAGTCACTAAGTTGCCCTGGGGGAGCTTGAACTTTTGATCTTCTTGCCTTAGTGTCCCAGAGTGCTGGAGTAACAGGTGTGTACCTTCACCCCTGGCCAGATCATCCCGCTTTTAAGCATGTTCTTTGGTTCTATTTCCACGGACTTAAAATGAACGCACAAACAGACTCCTATGGAAAGCAAAATACAAAACACCAAAGCAAGAATCCCTCGCTGGGTCAGAGCCCTGGTTTCCTGCTGATGCCTCAGGCCTGGGGACATCCCAGCACCTGTGGACAGAACACTGAGGCTTCTACCTGTGACAGTGCACAGAGTGGGAGGCACCAGAGGCAGAGGGCTACACTGAGCTTTTCTCTGAGAATGTCAGACTGGCAGACCCGCTGCAGAGGCCTCCACTGCTCGCTGTCCCTTTTGCTCTGCAGACAGAGGCTGGGCCCATGGGGTGTAGAACTCCTCAGCTGATCAGAGCCATCCTTACCTCTCAGCCTGGTGAGGGCCGGCCTGGCTGGAGACTGTGGGCTTGACTAGCTGCAGGACGCTGCATAAGCTAATCCCCTTTCTGGGCTCTGTTGCCTCATCTGTACAGAGTTCTGGTGCCTTGACCTCTTCTGCACCCCAGGATCTCTCCTTGGATCATTCCTGCCAACCAAGGTCAAAGATGAGCAGCCCAGGGCCCCTCTGCCTTGCCCAGTTTTTTTCCAAGATGCCCCTGGAGTGGGGCGTCCCCTGGAGTGGGGCATCCCCTGGAACAGCATCTTGCTCATGGGAAGCAGGTGGGCTTCTGGTGGCCCTGACATCAGAAAACTTCAGAACTACAGATGCCAGTGTGGCACCAGCACAGCTGCTCTGAGTAACTGCATGTGGGAGGACGAGGTCTTCAGCCCACCCCCAGTCCTGGATCTCTCAGCGTCACAGAGTGAGAAGGGGCTGGAGGAAGAGTGCATGTGCCCTTGCCCTGTGTCAGCACACAGGACCTCCAGAAGCACATTTCCACCTCCAAGCTGTCAGCAAGCCTGCCGGCTGGCCTTGCCATCCAACCAGCTGTATGGTCTTGAGCAAATGATTTAACCTCTCTGTGCCAAAATTTCCTTATCCATTAAATGTGGCCAGTCACAGACCTGATGGAGGAGTTGTTGAGGTGGATATGCAGGCCTGGTACTCCACTCCACGCACGTGCTCCCAAGTGGCACCAGCCAGAGTCCCCTCCCGTGGCTATGTTGTAGAGCCTGTAGGCCCTGCCAAGCTGATGGTTTAAATGTTTATAAATGTGTTGCTTGTGGTGATGGGGCTCCCGGATCACCCAACCAACCACATCAACCTCAGGAGGCGTGTCTTCCCTGGGGGTGCCTGAGCCCAGCCCCGCTAGGCTTCTGATGCCCACTTGTCCCTGTTGAGGCTCAGCTTCCCTGAGGGACAGCTGCAGTTCCATTTGTTCCCAGGCTGAGAGGCTTCTCTTCAAAGCAGAAGCCTTACTAGGACTGTGCCCAGAGAAGCCCATGGCACTGGTTGCCTGGTGTAGAAACCACTGGAAAAAAACACCCCATGTACCTATGTAAACATTGGTATGAAAAGGAGAGAAACAGAAAACAGCTCAGGGCCAGGGGTATAGCTCAGTGGCATAGTGCCTGCCTGGCAAGTGCAAGATCCTGAGTTCAATACCAGGTAAAAAAAAAAAAAAAAAAAAAAAAAAAAAAAGAAAGAAAAGAAAAGAAAACAGCCCAGTACTAGCAGCAGGAATCCAGAGCAGCAAAACATGAGCTGAGATGGTTCAAATTAAAAACCAGGGGCAGCCAGGGCCTCACACTTGCGCAGTCTCCAATCCCAGGCCAGGCTTGATTCCTGCATGAAATGGAATCACTGGCACCTTTTTTGGGTGGCGAGGGCTCTTCAGTACTGGATGACCCTATGAGGGTAGAAACCCTGTGGGGCTGGGTCATGGGGCAGTGGGAAGTGGCAGTCTCTGTAGAGGGTGATGGCTGTCAGTCCCCTCCAATAGGGAACTTGAGCACTGACCAACTAGGACAGACCCATTGGAGCAGGCCCTGGGCCAGGTTAGCTATTGCATCATAAGGAGGTGCAACAGGGACCCACAAAGGCCACAGCTGGGCAGGGCACTTGGGAGGACGCTGCCCCATGCCATGACCCAGAGGTTGACGTACAGCAATACCTGAAGAACCCAGAGGCACACTTGCTGTAGTCATCGCTCCCCCTCTGGCCCAGCTGCCTATTGTTCAAAGGCCACATACTACCCTAACCTTGGGGAAGACCCTACTGGATGCTGGGACTGGCCCAGGTGCAGGGTCTTGGCAAGGTGCCCTGCTCTGGGGTGGCAATAGAATGGCCTAGGGTTCAGTGGCTTTAACCACACATGCAAAGCAAGTATTGATAAATTACTGCAACTCCTATGAAAACAGGGTGAGCTTGGTCTCAGCCCAGGGATCCAGAGACCTGCAAGAAAACACCAATGGCATGAATACTGCCTCATCTGGAAATGAAATGCTGCTCCTGCGTGGATCATCTGCAGGCTGCCTTGGGTCAGGGCTTCCGGCCTTTGCAAGGATTTGCCATGGATGTCCCTCCGGCACTGTTTCTCACGACAGCTGGGCTAGACTTTTGCACCCAATATATTTAAATTTTACAGCAAAGGAGGTGAGTAGGAGTTTTGGGAAACCAGCGTGTAAGACAATGCCAGGTGTCAGGAGACTTGCGGGCACAGACGCCTTCCTTGTCATAAAGCTCCTGTTTTTCTGCTGATTTAACCAGGGAAGAAAAGTAGCTGGGTAGCCAAGTGCCGTCTCAGAAGGTCGTTCAGAAGTTCAATGCCATGGTTTAGGTCTTAGAAGTCCCCCTCCTCCCCAAGCCTCATGTACTGACGGCTTGGCACCAGCTGTGGTGCTGTTGGGGGTGATAGAACTCTAGAAGAACTGTCCTAGGAAGTATCCTATGCAGGCGATACTGGGACACTGGCTCTATCACTGTCACTGTCTGTCTCTCCTCTTTGCTTCCTAGCCCCTATGAGATAGCTCTTCTTCCCCACTGTCCACTGCCTACCACAGGCCCAAAGTATGAGGGCCATGGACAGAAACCTTGGAAGCTACAAGCCCAAATCAACCTTCCTTCCTTTAAGCCATGTATCACACATATTTTGTCCCAGCAACAGAAGGCTGCCTAACACACCCATCATAGATGCCAGATTCAGGGTCTGTGTGCCCTGCCCCCTCCCTCCCTCAGCCCTTTCATCTGTCTGCTAGGAGCAGGGCCAAGGACCTCAGGCTTCGGAGTCTGACAAGAAGGACTTGGCTGTGCAGAGCCTCGGGTGCGCAACATTTATTGTACAGAGGAGCCCCCAGCTCAAGGGTCCCTCCTTGGCTGGGGTCAAGTGGAGAGTTTCATGGAGTTGGGGAAGGGTACAGGGAATGCTCTGAAGCGAGGTCCTCCTGGAAAGGCAAGCTTGTTCCTAGAAGGGCGCCAGCCACAACTCAGGTGGAGGCTGGGGACCCTCCATGGCCCCTGCTTTTCCAGATCCTCAAGTTCTGCCCTGGGCAGAGGTCTCCGCCATTCGGTCTGAGATCAACTCAATGGCTTGAAGACACACAATGCTTCTCCTATGGGACATGCTGTGTTCTCCAGTCAGCGCAGTGCAGACCGGGCACAATCTCAGCTGCTGCCCCAGCTGAGAGGGAGGAGGCCTGCAGCCTTGTTCTGTCCCCAGTGCTCTGGGATGGGGGATGCCGCTATCCTGCATGGAAGGAGCAAAGGGGCCACTCCTCCCTCCCATCACCTGTTACTGGGGGTTCTCGTATTTTAGGTATCTAATCAGCCTGCCCGGGAGTGGCAACGTGTCCAAGAGTTTCAGACGATATTTTCCAATGGACTTTCGAACCTGCAGCCGGCAAAGGTGAGCCAGAGGTCTTGGAGGTTCTGGAAAAAATGAGAGAAAGAGATGCTGATTGATGTTTTCATCCGCAGCCTCGGCCTACAGTGGGTGCCTTGTGGGTGTGGCTGGGTACGAGAGGTGTCTCTCATGGGTAGCCTTGCAGCTGAACAGACTGAAAGGGAACTTCTCATTGTCACAACGTCCTTCTACACTACCCCAGGAAGAGAGGTGACATGCCCACTTGGCAGGCAGGAAAGCTGAGGTGAGTGAAGTCCCTGGTGTTGGCAGGAGTTTCTCAGGGACAGGGCTCACATCCCACCCATCTTGTATGACTTCCTCTTCACAAAAGCTGGGACCACCAAACACCTCAGTGAAGGAGTCGTTGGGAGTTTCACACATGAGATGCCACTCTGGGCTCCTGCTGCTGCTGAGAGGGCAGGGCAAAGGAGCAGCACCCCAAGCCCCACCCAGCTGCCACTCCTCGGCCCCCTGGAGTGCCTTGTGCAGTGCAGGTCTTCTCAGGTGGAAGGTGGAGGTGGGAGAGGCAGGAGCAGGAACTGAT